TCATAGAATTTCAGAAATAGAAGCAGCATCTAGAGCTAAACTGCTTTCAAATCCTGGCTCCACCATTTCTTAGCTGTGTGACCACAAGCAAGCTGAGAAACTCTCTGTGCCTCAGTTCAAATGGGGGATAATAATAGTAGTAGCTTCACCATGTTGTTGTAAGTGATACTTATTACCACTATTATTATGTCTTCATTGTTATGATTTGTTCAGAGTTCATGGGAATTCTTGGAGAGACTGTGTAGCATCACGGCTGAGAGCACAGATGCTGAAACCAGACTGCCTATTATCTAAATCCTACTTCCATACTTAGAGCTGTGTGACCTTGGTTAAGAATTTGACCTCTCTGGGCCTCGGTTTCTTTATCTGCCGATATTTCCCTTGGACAAAGTGATTGGCTTAGAGATGGCATGTGAGACTCAATTGGACCAATGAACTTCAAGGCCAGGACTTGTGCTGGGACCACAGGGCAAAGAAGCACTTTTCCCATCAGGGTTGCTGAATTGGCAGGATGTGAGCCTGGATAAGGAGCTGCCAGGGCCATCCTGGTTACCTGGGGAGGACAGCGAAGCTAACACAGAGGGAAGCTCTAAGAGAGCAGGAGTAAGAGAGAGTCATGATGACATTGTTTGAGCCCTTGGATGCAGCTGTGCCTGAAGCAAACCACTTTTGGACTTCCCAGTTCCATGAGCCAGTGAATTCCCTATTTTGTGAAAGCTACTTTCAGTTGGGTTTTTCTCACTGGAAAGCATTCAGGCTGACACTAGGAGGTTAAGCAACTTGCCCAAAGCCTGAAAGCTGGTAAGACCAGGGTTAGAAGATTCTAACCTGCTGCACCCAGATCAGCATTCTGTATTTGGGTGTTCATTGATTTCACCTCTTTACCCATTTTCTCATCTGCAAAATGGGACAACACCAGGCTTGCAGGACTTCTGGGAAGTATAAACTGAGAGATCACACCTAGCGCTGTCTCTGGCTGGAGGCTGAAGCTCTGTGCATCCAGTTTCCAGTGCTGTGGGCCTGGGTTTTGCCCCTAGTCAGTTATTCCATCCCAGGGATGTCTTTGGCTGACCCCAAATCAGCCAACCAGTCAAGGTGCCCAAACTTCTTTAGGAGAGCAGCTGTGAATCTCAGAGGGAAGGGCCACTTCCTTTCCTGGCTATGTGTCCTCACTGGTAGACAGAGCGAGCTGGATGACCCCGAGGACCCTGGAGGTCTGAGTCTATGAGGTAGAAAAAAGCCCTGTCATCTTGATTTCTGGAATCTTCCAAGGACTTGTGGCCCATCTGGGAATGACCTGTAGCTCAAGGAAGATGGCATTGAACCAAATCGACTTAATATCTTTTCTTCATGAAGTTTACATTTAGTGGTAGAGATGGATGATAACACATAAAACAAATGCATGACATAATACTACATGGTAAGAGTAGGGGGAAAATATGTCCTCAAATGCCTGATAAGTTCTAAGAAGGAAAAAGGATACAGACTCATGGAACTGTTTATTAGGGGGCATCAGAAGGGGCCTCTCCGAGGAAGTGACGTCTCATCAGAGACTACTTTGGTCTCTCTCTGAATTCCAAGCTCTTAACACTGGTCTACCTCCCAGAAAAAAAGACCAGGCTGGATTTTTACCAGGAAGCTTGCCAACACTGCTAAGTTAGGAGTCAGTGATCCATTGGAGCCTTGGTAAACAGCCATCCTTCTCTACTGACAACTCTTTAGGGCATTTAAAAAAGTTTAATGGGTCATTGATTTGCTCCATTAGCCGAATCTGTGAAGGAAAGGTCCAAGAAACCACCTGAGACCATTCCTCAGGCAGGCCTGCCAAGAAAAGGTTTCAGTTATCATGACACATGGCCATTTGTTTATTTTCTAACCAGTCATCACTAAAAGATTCCCAATCACCACCATCACAGCTCTGGGGGATACCAAGGCTTGGCTGGTTCTAGGCCAGGACTTGGCAGAGAACTGGTAGAGCGTGACAGATGAAAGCCAAGCCTTAGAGAGCCATGGAAGATTCCAGCACCTCAAGTCCCTCCTCCCAATGCAATATCAGGTGCTTGGGACACAGACAAGAAGTCGAGGTCCCTACCCTCCTGGAACACTATAGTGGGGGGCAGGAAAAGGAAACAAGCCAACAAATAGAGAGGGAGATTTTAGAGATGAGCACTGTGATGCAAATATTGGCTTAGAGATGGCATGACCTTGCAAGATGACCTTGCAAAAAACAAGGTCACCGGTAGAAAGTGACTGGGGGCTATTTTAGAGACTGTGGTCAGAGACCTATCTGCAGAGGTAACAGTTGACCTGAGACTTGAAGGGTGACAGGATCTGCAGGAAGAGTGGTCCAGGCAGCAGGAACAGTTGGTGCAAAGGTCCTGAGGTAGAAGCTCATTCAATGAATTAGAGGATTGGTCTAGAGTACAAGAAAAGGAGAAAGGTCGGGGAGGTGGGCCAGGGTTAGGACTTATTTGGGTTTCACTCTAAGAAGGATGGGAAACTACTGGAGGGTTTTACCTACAAGAGTTTCATGATCCAAAAATTAAAAGCTCTCTCTGGCTGCTGCTATGTGAAGAACGGATATAATAGTAATAAGCTGATACCTGAAATTAGGGGTTTCATTCAGGACCAATATTGTGACAAAGTTTCACCCTCTGCCACTGTGGTAGGTTGAGTGGGGGACATATCTCAAAAAAGATATGTCCAAGTCCTAACCCACAGAACCTGGAATATAACCTTATTCAGAAAAATGGTCTTTGCAGATGTAATTAATTTAAGGATCTCAAAATGAGATCATCTTGGATTACCTGGCAATACAAAATCCTCCTGGATTAGAGTGGGTCCTAGATCCAATGACAGGTATTCTTGAAAGAGTGAGGCCGAGGGAGATTAGACAGCTGGAAGAGGAGACAGAGGAGAAAAACCACTTAAAGACGGACACAGACTGCATTTATGCTGCCGCAAGCTGAGGAACAATTGAAGTCACCAGGAACTGGAAGAGGCAAGGAAGGATTCTGCCCTAGAGACTTCAGAGGGTGTGTGGCCCTGTCAACACATTGACTTCAGACATCTGGCCTCCAGAACTGTTCAAAAATATATTTCTGTTGCTTGAAGCCACCACATTTGTGGTAATTTGTTACGGCCACCCTAGGTAACTAATACATCCACTAAACACACGTGGACTCTGCACGCACACACCCACCTCCACTCCTTCATCAAGATCCTGTGCATAGCAGTGGCCCCACTCAAAGGCCGCTCCAGTCACTGGGTGGTACTCCCTGCAGGCATGAGGGCTACTTGGGCTCCAGATGGGCATTTGATTTATTTACTTACTTAGGTCAGCCCGCAGTGAGAAGAATGAACCAGCCTTGTTCTGTCCCCCCCAACAAGGAGCTCTGAGTTCTGTGAGTTCCAGATAAACTAGCACTCAAAGAAACAAGGGCAGGAAGAGTACACGAACCTGGAGAGTCACTTAAATGGCTAAGACTTATACTAGGCAGCTTCCAAGTGTAGGGTTCCCAAACTTTTCACCCGAAGGGGCATCTTTTGTTAATTTCCCCCTCCATGGAATACTCAGTTTCTAAAGACATTGTCTATCAAACCAATTGCATTTATTCAACAAGGCTTTACCTCCCATTTGCTATTATTTGAAGGTATATAATAATGGGGGCTCATATTTATTGATCCACTCATTAGACTAAAAGCATTATATATACTCTTTCAATCTTCACACCACCCTATGAGGTGGGTACTTTCATTATCTTCATTTTACAAAAGAGGGAACAGAGGCAGAGAGGGGTTAGGTAATTTGCCCAAGGTTGCGCAGCTAGTATTTAGTAGAGCTGGAATTTGGACTCAGGCAGCCTGTCTCCAAAGTGAGCACTCCCCTGAAGACTGGTTAGAATCCTGGCTTCCATACCAATGTGCAAAGGTACTCTGGACAAGTGATTTTGCCTCTCTGTGCCTCAGTTTCCTCATCTATAAAATGGGAATAATAAAAGTGCCTATATTGTAGGGTTGTTGTAGAGATTAAATGAGAAAATGTACTTGGAATGCCAGGCACAGTGCCTGCCACAAGCACTCAAGGAATGAGCTGGAATTCAACACCGCTGCTCTGGGTAGGCTTGAGATGGGAAGAGTGAACAGAGATGATTCTGTCCTCTAGGGTCTCTGACCCCATGGAGTTCACAATCTTCATATAATGTGCCCGACCCAAAAGTGAATGGCTTAAAGTACAACCTGCAGGAAAACCACCTGACCAGCCCTTCTCATGTGTGCTCCAAGGACCACAGGTATAGAATTAGCTGGGGTTGCTGGTAAAAAATACAGATTCCTGTATCCGAATCCTTTGGAAGTCGGCCCAGAAATCTGCCATTATTCAACACTAATGCACCATGGAATTTGTGCTCCACTGAGTCCATTCTGAGCAGGACTTCCTTGCTATTTTGAGAAATATTAAAAATCATTCCAAGACCCCAATCCATTCATTTCTGCAGTGCCCAGGATAGGAGACCCCAAACGCAAAGTATATTCAGAGAGTAGTGGGCCTTCCCCAGCAGCCTGGTAAATCATGAAGCTCTTAAGTTTCACGAAAAAAGGGCGGACATCTGGCCAGAGGCGGGAGCCTAGAAGGGGAGCATGTAACCCCACCCCCGCCCCCCCCTTGGAGCACTGAGGCCTGGGCCCTGGCGCTGCAAGAAAGATGCATGACTGCTTCAAGGTCACTCTGTGACTCAACGGACCGCGTCGATGCTTGAATTCAAGATCGATGGCACCCCGGCAAACCCACGCGCCGTGGGCGGGGCTCCCGGGGTCGCCTAGGCAACGGGCGCGCGCCACGCCCAAGCCCGTAGACCGGGATGGGAGGGGAGGAGGAAGGGCACGCTGCAAGATGTCTTCCCCCAGCACCTCCCCCGGCTCCGCCCCGCGGAACTGCTAGCCGACATTCCTGAGCGCTGATTGGTCCTTCCGCTTGAGGGGCGGAGCCCGCGGCAGCGCGGTGCGTACTTCCGGCTGCCGGGTTGACATGAAGAAACAGCGGAGGCTAGGGCGGCGGTAGCGGCGAGAGTCGCGGCTTGCAGCGGGACTAAGTGCGGAGAGCGCGACGCGGCCTAGAGCGGCAGAAGGCACAGTGGGCCGAGGAGGAGGCGCAGCAGCCCCCCTGGCCCGCCATGGAGATGGAAAAGGAGTTCGAGCAGATCGACAAGGCTGGGAGCTGGGCGGCCATTTACCAGGTGCGGGAGCGCCCCAGAGCGCGGCAGGCCCTTCGCTTAGGCCTAGCGAACCTTCCCCTCAGACCCCCAGGCCCCGCTCTCCCTCTGGGTCCCTCCCTCCGCCTGGGCCCTGCTCCGTGAGGATTCGATCCGACGGCGGCAGAGGCCAGTCGCCTCTCTCTTTGTCCCCCGGGTGGGCCTGCGTCTCTCCCCGGCCTCGCAGTCCCCTTTGATCCCCCACCTACCTCACATCCTCCAGCCCGGGTGACCTCTCAAGCCTGGAAGCCGCCAGTCTCTGCTCTCAGCGCGAAGCCTCGCACCCCGACCCCCTGCTTGTCCACTCTTTGTCCCCTGGGGTGGATAGAACCCCCCCACTACTTCCTTTCTAGACTGGACCACCCCAGGCTGTCTTCCTTTGTCTCCCCGGGGGAAAGGGTTACTCCCCCCTCCCTCCTTTACATTTCCTTTCTCCTGGTCTCTGTGCGTCGAGTCCCAAGGATGACAGTCCCTTCCCCCTTCCTGTTCATTCATTTAATGGATCTGAATTGACGTGCCTCTTCCGTGCTAGGCGCTGCTGAGGCGCTGGAGGTAATGTTTGCTGAACAAGACAGGCAAGATGCTATCCCCCGTGAGCTTAGGGTCGAATAGGGCAGTCCAACACATAAGCAGACAATTTCAGATGGGGACAAGTGCTATGAAGAAAACAAAACATAACGGGGTAGAGAGTGATTTCAGGGAAGATGCCTGCCTCAGAGAAGGGGATCAGGGAAGATCTGTCAGAGGAAGAGATACTTGCTCTGTGAGCTAAGCCCTGAGAGTAGCAGGCTAAAAAGAGCTTTCCAGCCAGGAGGTCTGGAGTACCCACTCCACTGGGGCCAGAATGTTACCCCGTGTCAGGCAGGCAACAGGGGAGGTTGACGTTTTTACTCTCTCTAAAATAGCATCTTTCTCTCGATGAGCATCTTATCCTTTGGTCATGGTTGAGATGATGGTGTCTTCCCGGTCCTCATCTCCTTGTGGGTTATGGTGATTCATAAATAGAAAGTTCGGAAGGTAGGGTCTCTCACGTATCTCTACATCATCAGATTAAAAAAATGAAGAGGTCTGCTTTCACAAGAGCTAAATCCTCTGAAGAAAATATGTGCTCCCGATTAAATGTCATCGCGGGGGTTGTGAGGATTAACCAAAACCACACTCGGTATTTTAAATAAACAACGTACAGAATAGAGAGATGTTGTTACTTGTGTAAAGGGAGAAGGCTGTTTTCGGCTTATAGGCTCAAAAGGCAAATTGTGAGATCCATCAGCTGGTAGTATTAAAATCTATTTTGAGCTCCACTTAAAAAGGAAAAAAGCTTTAAGTAGTTCTTTGGTATGCTTGACTAACAAAAGCCTTTTTTTGGCAGGCTTGGTTTCATGTGGATTTTCATCAAGCTTATTTGACAGGATTCTTTTTACTTGCACTGTAATGTATATTAGCTTCTGATAGACTAATGTTTATAACAACTCTAATCTGTATAAGTATGATCGATCAATATATAAAATTTGTATTCCGTGTCTAGTCTCTCTGAGTTAATTGAATGAATCCCACTAGTGACTTTGAGAATGTGTAGACAAATTTTCTGCATCAGATTGAATACAGTGGAGTCTAAAGTGGTCTTTGAAAAAATTCTTGGTCTGAAGTGTTGGAGTTGATAATGATATACCCCATCACAAGTAGGGGTGGCCTCCAGGAGGTACTGGGGAGAATCTTTTATACTGAAGCTGACTCAGTTGGCAACAGCAAATTCATATTATAAAAAGTCCTTGTTTGAATTTGATTACTTACAGTTTTAGGGAGGAGTGGGAGACCTTTCACCCAAGCACTGTAAAAACTATGTTAAGCAAGTCACCAGCATGCAGCATGGTCTTCAGTTAATTTCCCTCATTGTTCTTATGTTTGTCTACCACCTTGGAACCCCAGGAGTTGGTGGAGATTGCTGTATGTTGAGATTTCTCTAGATGCTTAATCGATTGCCACATTTCTAGAGGCGGTTTCTTTTATCTTAGAGAATTATCCACTGTGGGCTTTCTCACCTCTGCAGTACAGATATTTTTCTTTTACAAAATCTGAATCAGACGCTCTTTTCCTTCTTGATGTTAAAAGTGGCAAACTCTGGCATTTTTTAAAAAATGTAGAGTTCAAATGACCTTGAGTCTAAAGTGGCAGATTTTCCAAAGTGTGTGTCAATTTACGAAAACCATTATTTTTCAGGAATTCAAAGAAATGTGTTTATGGTGGGTAGAAAATGGAAGTTAAAAAAATTAATATTTTGTAGCCCGTCACAATGAAGGCAGCCTTATACAGAGTCATTTTGAGCTTGCTTAGTCTATTGTGATTTTTTAAATAATATGTAATTTTTGCTTAACATTTTGTAAACAAAGCAGTGCAGTTATTTCTCACTATACTAACTTCTAACTAGAACAAAAAGATGTAAAAACTTGGAAACAATTGGGAAAAGAACAAAGGACGAAGCAGACTTTTGAATGCCGAGGATTGAGGCGGCTTAGAAAACAAATGTTTCAGGGGAAGATTCTCTCCTAGCTCAATTTGATAAAGTGAGCGTAACTGTTTATATAGTTGTTAATGCTAATAGATAGCATAGATACTAATAAGCATTTAGGTCTATAAAAAGTCAGCTTTGATAGCATGTGTAGATGGCTTTAAAAAATTGTTTTCTATCATTTAAATGATTGTATGTCTGGTTTGAAAAGTGGAAGTAATACTTAGCAAGCCTGGAGTGCCCAAAAGAGAAGAGAGAACACAGATAGGGCAAAGGGATTGGTTTTTGGAGCTAGAATGAGAGAAGAGAGGGCTTGAATGAATGAAAATAGGAAAAACTACCCTCCATTTGTAGTGTAAGGTTTGGGTCAGGTGTTTCGCCATTTCTCTCGTCTCTAATTCTTTGATTCTCTGACACTGTTCACTAATTTTCAGTATGAATGATTTGATTGTTTCAGATAAAGGAGATTGCAACAATAGCTTGTGACTTGAAGGCAAGATTTATTCTATGTTAGAGGCAGGCTTTGTAATACGGGCCACGCTTCCAATTGACATTTGTTTTTATAGCTGCTTTCATTATGAAATACGATCTAATGCCTGACTAGGTTAAAACCATGTTATAACAATAATTCACTAAAATTCCTTACTGCTGTATACAGCTTATTTTGTTACAGTCCAAGATGAATATTAAAATTTCCCAGTAATTTTTATATAAATACTGTTCCCTTCAGAGAAAAACTGTGTTTTGTGCAGAGGAGAAAGATCTATACACTATGGCTCACTTCACTTAAAAAAAAGAAAGACAAACGGAAGTGACATGGAGAGGATGGGAAGCTCTAGTCATCTTGAGTGACCCATTAGATCTAAATGTTCTTGTGTAGCCCTGGTTTGAGTGAACTAAATTTAGGTGTCTGATCACCACTTTGGAAATGGTGCAAAGACGTTTGTAATTGTCTGGACTCAGATTAACTGGGGGCACAAGTAGAAATAGTGGAGGGAAGAACTTTTTGCTATCATTATTTGTTTGACATCACCGGCATATTTATAGGAATACTTTGGTTCTTTTGGAAGTACATCATAAACTATATCAGATGGTTCTGAAGAGTCAGCTGGGGGTAATGGTAATGCAGATGATTTTCGGTTGCCAGTTATCTACCATTGGGCTCCAAGGCCCCTCCAGTGCATTTTGCTTTTTTTTTTTTGGCTGCGCTGCGCTGCATGCGGGATCTTAGTTCCCCTACCAGGGATCGAACCCATGCCCCCCTGCATTGGAAGCATGGAGTCTTAACCACTGGACTGCCAGGGAAGTCCCTGCATTTTGCATTTTAGCACGAATAGCTCCCCCAAACCTATTTTAAAAATGCCTGGTATTGGGTAGTGTAATTGAATGTATACTGAATTTCATGATAGAAATAAATTTTAAAATTTCCTGTAGGGGTTTTGTCAGACTCTTAACTACTGAAATAACTGTGCCTTTTCTTTTTTCCCTTTTCTCTTTTTTTTGAGTTGTCTATTTTCTGATCTTTTAGATGGCAGAATCCTTTTGACTGTTTTTGTCTTATGCTGTGCTTTTAATTGCAGGTACTTTTTCATAAGCCAGCCTGAGCTCATGTGTATTTTGCACAAGCTGGCGTCCCTCCCTACAGTGTTTGTGTTAATTTGTTCATGGTAACCAACTAATACTGACTACAAATAGTCTGGGCATGTTTCTTTGTACTGCCCATGTTTAGGAAAAGGGGAAGTCCAGCAGGGTCATTGTGTCCAAGACAATGTAGTTTGGTACCAGTCATTTGGTGCATGTTTTGAATATCCAGGAGTGCTGGGGACTTTGGAATGGTTCTTGATTCCCTCTACCACATCTCATTGATTGGTCACTATAATGTCCTTCCTACCATCCCAGTGGTCTAGGTTCTCAAATTTTGCTTATAATCCTGCTGTCATTTCTGGTTTCACATTACAGAAATTGGTGAGACCAGAAGCATATTAATAAGGTCCCTCAACAATCTCTCCACATCTCCCCCCTGCCCCACTGTGTATATTCTTCACATTATCACTAGAGTAATTGTGTTAAAAACAGACCTGAGTCTGTCACTCCTCTGTTTACTTCTATGCTTTCATTTATGTGTAAGGTCCAAGCTCCTTGGCATGGCAGCCAGGTTCCAGCCATCCCCTCCTGTGTACCTTTTATTCTAGCCACACTAGAAGGTGCAGTGTTCTCCAGACTCATCCTTCTCTTTTCATTCCTCTGTACTTTAGCTCAACACTTTGTTTAGGCTGCCTTTCCCACTCATTCTGGCTTGCGCCTCCCAGCTCAAATGTGTGCCCCCTTGCACTAGATTTTGGCTCTCTCACTTGTGTGCTTACATACACTTTCATACCTATCTCTTTTAAAGCCCTGCTCTCATGGAGCTGTTCCTTTGTATCCGGGTCCATCTACTGTAGGGTCCAAACTATGGAAGTCACCTCTTCCATATTTCTCA